AGCTCTGCACACAGCAGGGACTGACCCAGAGCTGCTGGGGCAGGGCTGTGATGGGATCATCAGTGGGCACTGCCCTCCCGCTCTTATCTGCAATATCTCAATTGTTTGATGAGATTTGGTACAAATTCCTCCCTGGGAGAGTGTTTCACGCATGTTCGACATCAAAGCAGCGCAGCAGTGAGGGAGTGCATGTTTCTTTAATGTGGGAGTGTTGTAGGGGCCGCAGGGTGCCCAAAGGCAGATTATAACAAAATTAATAATTCAGGCTTGGGAAGGTGCTGGTGAGAGTTAACCCCTTCAGGGCGAGCCGCTGCCTCCGTGCTGGCACAGCCAGGCCTGGCTCTGCATTTCTGCCCAGCACCTCTGGGGTGGGGGGGCACAGCTGGACACAGCAGGGCACAGCAGCTCCCCTGGGCTGTACCCACCTGTCCCCATGTCACTAACATGGGCAACCTCTAAATCTGGGCTGAAGGGAGTGTCAGTGCCCGTATCAAGTGGCAATAAAGGGCTTTAAGCATTGGGCAGCTCTAAAGCAATCAATCTCTAACTCAAGAGGAATCAATGCTGTCCCTGCAGCCAGAGCAATGTGCTGAGTGAGTGCCCAGCCATCCTCCCCCTGCCAGTGTCACACCCCTGTCCCCAGCTGGCACCGCTGGCTCAGCACACGCCAGGGGCAGTGCCAAGGCCAGCTGGGGACAGCAGCAGAGCCACAGGAGCAGCTCCTGGCTCAGCCCTGGCCACGCACTGTGGCACCAAGAACCTTCACACCTGCACCTGCCAGCCCGGGCCTTAGAGCTGTGTGACATGCTATTTGTATGCAAATAACCCTGGGAGTGCACAAGTCCAAAAATATTATTTTAAAGTCTGGTGTAATTAAGTTTGCCATGCATTTCCCTGCTCCTGCAGCCCTGGGGATCCTGCTGTTAGCGGGAAAATGAATGCCTGGATGACATCTCTCCCCCTTGCATGGCTTCACTGGTGATTTATTTATCTGCCCGTGCTGTGTTTTGTTGTCTCAGCAGTCTCTGTTGCTCATGAGCAGCAAACACTGGGAGTCCATTTAAAAAAAAACAACTCTTGTCTTATTTCAGTAATTTACTATGCAGAGGTTTTGTGTTTTTCATAATGGATTAGAACCTGTAATTTTGTATTTTGAATGCATGGACCTAATAACTCACGTAATGAAAATCTAACAGGCTTGAGGATGAGCCATTAATGAAACAGCAGTTTTATGATCCTCCACAATATATTGTAATAGTGAATCACTTACAGAGCTGTCCTGCGCTGATTTATGATGAAACTTGTTTGTGATGTGGAGATAGAACCATGTGCCTGCACTTCCTGACGGTCATTAACCAATGGGAATCATAATCGGGATTTATGGGGTTTGAAGCAGAGCAGTGGGAAAGGCCAATTAAGCGCCAGCCGTGCTCAGGTACCTCAGTGAACCAGCCCTGCTAATTTATGCTGACTAATTAGTTTGTTTTCTCTCCAATTAGGAGGCTGGTCAAGAGCACAGGGGGGTGCGTGGGATGGTGCCCTTGGCAGGTGCCACCCCTCCCTGCCATGCCCTGGCTCTGCTCTGCCATCTCTGTGCTCTGCTCACCCAGGTGCTGTGGGCTGCTCTTGCTCCCAGTCAGGTCTTTCATCACCCAAAGCCGCCGGCCATGGCTGTGCTTTGGGGATGCCAGGTCCTGGTCACTGCATGGCCCAGCCTGGGGAGCCCTGGTGGCCCTGGTTGCTGTCTGGGTTTGTGACAGAGATAACCTGGTGGCTCGGGCTCTCTGGGGGATGGCTGCAGGCAGGGATGCACAGAGGGATGGGGTGTTGGGGTACTGGCCTCATCCTGGCTGCCACAGCTCCCTGTGCACTCCAGCCAGGCATTCCCTACCTGTCCCTGCCTGCTCAGCCAGGGCACCTCCAGTGTCATGCATCTGACTGCAGTGGATTTGATAGTTTACTCTAGTAATACAAGACCAATTTATAAATCTTTCCGTCCCATTAGGTTTTATTTGATTTGGATGTTCAGATGTCAAAGCAAATGATTTAATTAGTGCTAAGCTGGGCTGCAGGGATGCTGCATTTCCCCCAGGCTGGTGCTCCTTGCCTGGCCTGCAGCCCAGCTGCCAGTGCCAGAAAGAGATGTGTGTACCCAGGAGCCCATTTGGAGCTCCTGGGCCTGGCCCATTTGGACTCAGCTCCCACTGGCAGAGCAGCACAGCTCCCAGGGCTCTGTCCATTGCTCCCCAAGGCTGCTTGTGGTGGTGGCGTTGTGGCACAGCCATCCCACTCTTGCATCCTGGCACTGGACACACACTGGTGTGAGTGTGGGGCTGCCAGTGCCCCTGTCCTCTGCCAGGCTGTCCCCTGGGACTGGGATGGACCTGGAAGCCATCCATGGCCAGGGTCCTGTGCCTGCGTGGTCCCACTGGGAGGGGACACGTCACCAGCCCCATGGCGCTGCCACCACCTCCCGGTGCCAGTCCCGGCTCCTCCCTTACCATGCCCCTCTGCTTCGCTCACAGGAGCCTGATGCCACGAACCCTCGACAGCCAGATCACGGTGGAGAAGACGCCCAGCTACTTTGTGACCAAGGAGGCCCCACGGCGCATCTTCAACATGTCCCGGGACACCAAGCTGATCGTGGTGGTGCGCAACCCGGTGACCCGCGCCATCTCGGACTACACGCAGACCCTGTCCAAGAAGCCAGACATCCCCACCTTCGAGGGGCTGACCTTCCGCAACCGCAGCCTGGGGCTGGTGGACACCTCCTGGAACGCCATCCGCATCGGCATGTACGCCGTGCACCTGCAGAGCTGGCTCCAGTACTTCCCCCTGTCCCAGATCCACTTCGTCAGCGGCGAGAGGCTGATCACGGACCCGGCGGGCGAGATGGGCAAGGTCCAGGATTTCCTGGGCATCAAACGGGTTATCACTGACAAGCACTTCTACTTCAACAAGACAAAAGGCTTTCCGTGCCTGAAGAAGTCAGAGAGCAGCGGCTTGCCCCGCTGCCTTGGCAAGTCCAAGGGCAGGACTCACGTGCAGATAGACCCTGAGGTGATCGAGCAGCTTCGGGACTTTTACAGACCTTATAACATCAAATTCTATGAAACAGTCGGGCAGGACTTCAGGTGGGAGTGAGTGTCCGGGAGCAGAGCTGCACTGACAGGAAGCTGCAGTGTTCTCTGAGGAGAGCCCAAGGGGCTGGAGCCAGGACCCCTCAGCCCATCCTGCCCAGAATTGCAGGCAGAGCCAGGCAAGGGGGTCGCCTGTCCCTTAGGGGTCTGCAGTGCTCTGGAGAACCAAGACAAGGAAGACTCAGATCCTGCTGCAGCCACCAGGCTAAGGGATGGGTGCCCAGCAGCACTGCCTGTCCCAGCGGGCCAGCAGCCACCTCTGTGGGCTCCTGTTTGCTCTGAGCACCGCAAGGTCCCTGGGCCACGGGGATGGCCCCGTCTGCAGCCTGTGCCCAGGCTGCTCCAAAGCACAGCCCTCTGTGTCCCACAGCAATGGGTGCTCCTGGACAGTGGCAGTGGGACTGTCCCTGCCAGGCAGAGCTGCACTTTGTCATTGCCGCCATGTGTACCCCTGAGGACAGTGAGATGTATCTGCTTGACAAAGAATCTATGGAAAATGTTGTACTGATATTTTGTCCTGTGAATAAAGCACAGAATCCTGCTGTTACGGGTACTTTAGTGGCACTAGTTTCCTTGTTCAGCTTGTGATCCCTTCATGTAAATAAAGTGGCTTCCACCAGTCCGAATGCATGGGCTGTTCTTAGGACAGGGCTGGGCAGAGCTGGGGGGCACGGGGAGCCCCCACACCCCCAAACAGGCGAGGGAACGGGCAGGGGCTCGGGCAGGACAGGCCTGACATGACCAAGGGGAAGCTGTGGCACAGCCCTGCCTGGGGCTGCCCAGGCTCATCCCCTTGCACAGGCTGGGATCTCTCAGAATGGTGCACAGTGACCATGTGGGGATGCAACACACCATGGACCAGTTTGCAAGGCCTCACTGAGAGTGATTAGTGAGCAGTGAGCTCTAATAGGAAAAAATTGGAGTTAATTAGTGGACGCCTAAGAGAGCCCCATCTGCATCTCTGCCAATGCCAGCCACAGGAGAAGACAGCAGAGAGGGGACCCAGAGGCAGGTATGGGCAGGTGGAGGGAGAGATGGGAATTAATGGCCATTGACAGGAAAATGGGATATTTGCTTGTATGATTTTTCCTTTAAAGGAGAAAAACATTCGCAGCGAGACTCACAAATCCCAGCCTCACAGTAGAAAAGCCATTTCCAATCCACTCCAAGGAGGCAGAAGGTGCCAGGTTAGATTGATCCTTCTGACAATACTGTATTAGTGGGAAATTAGAGCTGGAGCCTGAGGAAACTGCTGCGATATCAAACAATTACTTTACATTTGTCCTTACAAATGGAGGGAGCAGAAATGTGCTTAAATCAAGTATTAGCTTTCCAAAGGGTGAGCAAATGAGGGCACAGGCAGGGCTGCACTGAAAACGCAGAGCACATTAGGAGCTCTTAAAAATGGCTTAAAAAGCCCCAAGCAGGCAATTTGCATGCGGAGGAGGCAGGGCAGGGGTTGGCTGAGGATGGCAGAGTTTGCTGAGGACGTGGGGTGCTGCTGGTTTGGAGAGGTGATGCCGAGCACAGGGGCTGCCAGAGGGACCCCCGTGCTGGCCCGGCCTGGCAGGGCACCAGGGACAGGGGCTCTGCTCTCAGGGCTGTCACACCACTGTTTGCAGCCATCCCTGGCACAGCACGGCCCCAGCTGTCCCCACAGCAGCCACCCCGTCCTGTGTGCTGTGTTTTGATGGGTGCGCTCAGGCCTGAACCCCAGAGAGCAGCTGTTCAATATTTATCAGCCCATAAATAGTTAACCATAATGAATGTGGTTTAAGTGGTCCCTGATCCAGCTGAAGAGCTCTTGAGACCAGCTGGGCCAAGGGGGTCCTTCCCTGGCCCGTTCCCCTCAGTGGTGAGTGCCCTGCCCAGGAGAGCAGAGCCGCTGGCACATCCAGGGAGCCACAGCCCTGCTCCTGCCTGGGAGCAGCCTCTCCTCCCAAAATGGTCCTTTCTCCACTGGGACTGCCCCAGGACCCCAGTCAGGATCTTAACTCTGTCATGGTGCCCCCATCAGCTCCTCACCCTGCCTGTCCCCAGTGGGGACACCCTGACCCAGGGGGAGCAGCCCTGGGACACCACGGCTCCATGGTCACTGGAGCAGCTCGTTAAATCCAGCCCTGGTATTTCCAGGTGCACGAGGAGCATTGTTATCCCTCTGACCACGGCAGGACCGCAGCACCATGAGCACCAAGAAAATTTGATTAACTTCTTACTAAGCTAATATGATTCATTTTCACTGCTGGCTCCACGCTCACTGGAGCAGGCAGAGTCCTGGGAGTGGCTGTGGGGGGCTCCCAGCCCTGTCCCCCCACTGCAATGCTCGGCTGTGTGCTCCCAGCTCACCTCCTTCCCCGCACACAGAGTGGGCAGCAGGTAATGGTCATTAATGGAGACCTCCAAGCCCTCGGGATGATGGATGCTCAGGGCAGCTGGGATTCACACAGCCAAGGAGGTCAAGCTCCCTCCTATGATTCCATCAGGCTGCAGCAAGGAACAGGAGCACGGGCTGGGGTGACTCAGGGTCTGTCACTGCTGCCCAGCACAGCTGGATGGGTCCCGCTGGATGGGCACAGCTGGATGGGTCCCGCTGGATGGGCACGGCTGGATGGGCACAGCCGGATGGGTCAGCTGGATAGCACAGCTCCCACAGGGACAGGGGACATCGCTGCTGGGTCCCGGCCATCCCTGAGCCACGGCATGGGGCCGGGTCAGCGCAGGTGCCCTGCTGTGGATAGGTGTGTTGGTAAGTGTATAATAGGTGTGTTAACAGGTGTGTCAATAGGTGTGTTAGTAAGTGTATAACAGGTGTGTTAACAGGTGTGTCAAGGTGTGAAGGGGCCTCAGCTGCTCATTCACCACACCCCACTCCCCAGCTGGCTCCTGTGGCGTCGGGACAGCAAAGCGTCGCTGGCACGCTCCAGCGGCTGGAGATAAGGACAGCTCAGGGATAAATATTTACCCAGTGACTGAATGGATTCAACCGAGTTCATTCCTATTAGAGAATCTGTTAGTAATTATCTGAAGACTCGTTATTACCTGGGGACCTATAATCTCCCGCAGTAATGAGCTCGAGTGGCTCCTGTGGCATGTCAAGCAGGAGAGGGAAGGTGGGGAGGGGGCACTGCCACTGCAGCAAGGGCAGGCAAGGGCTCAAGGGCAGCGGGGCTGGCTCAGCTCTGGCAGCTGGCACTGCAGCACCGTGGGGCACAGAGCTGCCACCTCGCCTCCCTGCCAGCCCAGGGGCGAGCCCTGGGCACAGCTCGGCTCCAGGCAGAGCTCAGAGCCCAGAGAGGCAAAAGCTGAGGCTTGGATGGAGCTGCTGCTTCCCCAGCCAGGCGTGGCTGCTGGGAATGTGCTTCAGGACACGGCCCCTGTGCCAGGCATGGGCGATCCCAGCCCCAGGGCAGCCCTGGCAGTGGGCTCTGTGCCCCACAGAGCTGGGCTGTGCCTCAGCAGCATTGTCACAGCCCTGCCACCCATAGGGAATAATTCTGCAAACCTGGGCCCATTTTGTAGGGCTCAAATAAAGTAACTGAAGAGCAAGGTGCAAGGCAGGGCAGATATTGACAGGTCCCACACCCGCAAGGGAGGAAACCCCTCCAGGGACACACACCCAGGGTTCCTGCACGCCAGCAGAGGGATGGTCCTGCTGCCATTGCCACTCAGGGTGTGCTCATCCATCCACATACCCTGCAGGGCACAGCAGCCCTGTGCCACAGCTCTGGGGGTGCCCAAAAGAGCAGCCAGGATGGAAAATGTTGGTAGGTCCTGGTGGATTTATGTGTTTTAAATAAATGTCTTTCTTTATTTAAAACACACCAATTTTATTTAGAGCACCCAGAGAGGACAATGCTCCCAGTCCCTTCTCTGCCTGCCACGGAGCTGCCATGTGGCAGTGCTCTGTTTAGTACCAGCACTGTTATGAGACCAATCCATTCATTTAGCTCTAATCTCTAAAACAAAAATAAAATTACATGATTAAGATCTAATTAAAGTCTAACTACCAGCACCATGAATCACTTCAGCACAACTTTAATGGATGCCTTTCGAAGCCATCATGCATTTGGTTTCCTTCCGTGGCCAGTGATTTCCCTGCAGGGACTGGGTCTGCTCTGCCTGATGTTTGCTCTCACTGGCTCTGATTTGGCTGGGGACCACTAAAAATGTTTACATGTGAGCGAGGAGCTCGAAAATCCATTTCTAACCAGACAGAAAATCTCATTTGACAAGCTCATTCAGATGTGCTGTGTCTCTGCAGAGCTGGGCGGAGCAGGGGGGCCCCTCAGCCACGCCAGCCCCAGCCCCAGCTGGGGACAATCCCCCAGCCCTGCCATGGTGTGGCACTCAGGGTGCCCGGTGCCCCCTGGCACCGAGGGTGGCTGCTGGCCAGAGCTGCACTAAGCGCCATTAGCTCTCCTTGGGGAGGAAAAGCAAATTGAAGTCTTTCTCACAGCTCTTGGGTTGTCCACCCTGAGGCACAGCCCTATAATAATGTTGATGGAGAATATTGTCATTTCCCTCTTTCCCAGCAAATCACTGCCTGTCGCTGTCCCAGCGCTGTCCCTGCCAGATCAACACAAGCATTTTAATGCCCTCACTCCTGCGCTTGCAGCTTGTCAAGGCAGAGGCTCTGCCAAGGGCTGCCTCCCCCAAAGGGCTGCCTCCCTGGGACCAGCAGCCTGGCAAAAATGCAAGTACAAATTATCAGTGCAAGTCCAAATTATCAATTAGCCACCCCATTGCTGATGGCATCTTGTCCAGGGGAGCAGCTGAGGGATCCCCCCACGAGATCCCCCCATGTGCAGCCCCACAGGATCATCCCGAGGGATCCCCCACATGCTTGGGAGGGCACACCAAACCTGCTGCTTCCCCATTGCTCACCCATGTTGGACAGATGAAATGGGTGTTGTGGGAAACAAGACAAAGAAATCTTACAGCCCGTTCAGGTTTGTTCAGTGTCTTTTTCAGCAGAAGGATGTGCAGTTTGTCTGACGGTGGCACATTAAGTGCACAGCATCCTCTGGGGATGGTGGCTCTGCAACAGGTACCTGAGAGGCTCAGTGGGAGGGGAGATTATCATCATTAATCACCACTGGGAAAAAAGGCACTTTCTCCAAACTGCAGCCCTGTGTAATGGGGATTGTGTACACACGGAGCCATACGTCAGGGGAATGGTCCCTGGATGACTCAGCCAACCAGAGGAGATAAAAGAATTGAAATTCAGGAGTGCTGCTGGCTTACATCTTCAGAGGGGTGAGCCTCCTGAAACACTCATATCTACACAGCAGGGCTCAGCTCTGGGCTGCTCCTGTTACCGGCCAGACAAACACACCCTTGGCTTTGGGAAATGCACAACAGCAGCAGGGCAAGCCCAGGGGCAGGTGGGTTCCTGGTGCCCAGGGACAGGTGGGCTCGTGGTGCCCAGGGACAGGTGGGTTCCTGGTGCCCAGGAGCTGATGCCCCAGGAGGGGATCTTGGTGCCAGCAGCTCCCCCGCCCTGTGCCAGGCACAGGGACTCACTCACGGCCACCAAGAAGCTCTGGCTGCCACAGCCACCCGCTCCATCCAACGTGGGCCAGCCTGCCTGCGAACACACAGCTCAGCTCAGAGCCCAATGCAGCCC